GGGCCCAGGCAGTTGAAGGCATTGCCAGCAATGATGGTACAATTGAAATCAAGGATGTATGACAGGCCAGAATTGGAAGGGTGCACAGATCTTATATGGTTGTAGAGATACAGAAGATTTTAGAGACGGCCAGAGGCAAGGCCATGAAGGATTAGAAAACAAGGGTGAGAGTTTTAAAACACAGGCATTGCCAGATCTGGTGCCCATGCAAGTCTGCCTGAAGAGGACACAGTGAGACTAACAGAATGAGTAGCAGAATTTTGAACAAACTCAATTTTTAGCTGTCAGATCCAATTTTTCTGTACATTTCAGACAAAGTTGCTTCTATGAGCAGTTTCAACTAGCTGTTTGCAACAGATTAAAGTGTAATTAACTTAATGATGAGATTCTGAGTGTAACAACTAACAATTTGGAAAGAGCACTGCTTGGTGAAATTTCCTGTTTTGTAAAAAAAAAAATTGGTTACTTTACTTGTTCTGTGCCTCATACAGCAGGCATATCACACTCTCACAAATATGCTCACTTGACAAGGTAGAAGGCTACCTTTTCCCAAGCCAGACATTGGGCATTTTAAAAATACCCAAGTAAAATAACAGCAGTGGAACTAAATTTTCTCCTAAGGAAAATATAGTCACAATGGTCATTTGAAGTACAGACGCAATTTGGTAATGAATTTACATGGGATGATGCACCACAGCAGTAAATTCAACAACACAGCACAGCCACCCATTGCTCCTGTGTTAGTTCTCTGACTGAGCTATCCCATTAGACTCATTCCCGAGCAATTGCCTCAACAGTTTAAAACAAAATCTTCAGACATTTATCTTTTACTTTTGAACATTCACAGTGGATTTTGCCTCCACTGCTGTTTCAGTATCTTGATCAGAAGACGTTTAATAATTTCCATAAAGAAATTTCTCTTAATCTGCTCCTTCAATTTTGCACCATCCTCCCTCAATGTCTAATTGAGAAGGTTAATGAATGACAGATGCACTCAATATTTGCTATTAGCTTGTCAAAGTGACTTAAACCCACCTGATAACAAGCAGTGGAACTGGACACACGTTTACAGAATCACAGGAGGTGGCTATTCTACCCATTGTACCTGTGCTGACTCTTTGAAAAGTATCTATCCAATCAGTCCAACTCCACCCTCCTGGTTTTTGTCTGGAACTCAGCAAATGTTTCCCTTTCCAGTTCCTTCCTTTCATGTCAGACTTCCTGGAGCTATACGATGAGCTGTGACTTCTTTTCCATTACTGGCTTTCAGTCCAAATTTGGGAAACCTTGTCTAATCCCACAAGACATACAGTCTAGACTGAGGCATAAACAGAGCTGGATGCCATGAAACCCATTAGAAACGATTCTTAGGAGAAAGCAGAGCACTGTGAGTGGATGCTGCTTGCCAGCACTATATTAGAGGATTAATTTATTTGCTTGGTGTATTTATGTGTCAGTCATGAGGTGTCACTTCAAGCCAAATATCCTGTAAGCCTGACATTTTGCCAGGAATTGCTGTTGAAGATGTCTGTCTTCTATGAAAGGTCAATTAACCGATAATGAAGCTAATAGAACAGCACAAATTGGAGGGCTTTTCTAAATATTTATACATATAACCACACCAGGGATTGATGGCAAAAACAATCATCGTCACACTGAACTCTCCCACTCCCACCAAACATGCATGCACCTCCTCTCCCGTTACTGATTAAATATCCTCCTCTCTCTTCAGTAGTCTGAGTGAATATTGTATTATGTGCCATGATAAGAACTAGAAAAAGAATCAATGCCAAAACATCTCGCATTACAAGTTCAGATAGGTACAGATGAAGGAGTTCACTCACCTCATCAAGCTCATATAGGCCAGGCCTTCACAGCATCAAACTCAATGATTCCATTGTCTTTGCCAACAGTACCCTAACTAGATTCCAAGAATTAATCAAATTAGATGAAGTAATGCTTCTAGGCATTTTGTAACACAGTGGTAGTGTCCCTCCCTCTGCACAAGGAAACCCTATTCGGTTCCTCTGCCATTTTTTTGTTCCCCATTACTATTTCTCCAACCTCATTTTCCAGCAATCCAAAGTCCAATCTTGTCTCTCTTTTTTTATACAGTAGTAATCAACACACCAGATATGTTTAAGCTTCCGAAGCTGAAATGCAAAGGACAGCTACCATTATAAAATCAATGCTTTCAACATAAACAGATTTTCCTAGCCAGTCACAGCACTATTGATTCCACAGTGACTTAATGTAGCAAGGCAGCTTGAACAACCTTCTGTCAAGCTTCTGACAGCAGCTGTTTGCAGCAAAGCTTCACTATTAAATACATAACACTGGAATCCCAGTCAGCACCAGGGTGGCTGAGATCTTCTATCATCAAAGTATCATTCTCTATCTGTACACTGAAATAACAGGTTATCTTACAATAAAAGGGAAAACAAGCAAAGCTAATGGGAAACAGCCACGGGATGGAAACTAACTAAGCAATGCTTGTCTTTGGTGTTCTACATTTCTATTCTACATCCCTGGCAAGTAAATACCTCAAACATACTTCAGTTTTATGCATTGCACTTCCATTGTATCACATGTTTCTTATGTATCAAGACATTGGGCTGTTCTTATTTAAATACAGTTTCGATGAAGTCAGCTGCCTTTCTGCATTGGATGGCAGTAACTGAGACTCCAAGTCTCGGCTATAGAATTTTGGAATTGTAGTGGTTCAAAGGAAACACTTCTTTTCCTCCAATCTACTGAGATCTCTGCACTCTTCCAATTCTGGCCTCATGTACATTCTAACATCATGCATCCTACTAATGGTGGGCATGCCTGGCAGCTGCGAAGGTCCTAACCTCTGGAATTTCCTCACTAAAATGTTTTTCCTTCCTTTCTTACACTCCCTGAAACCTCACCTCCTCTTTTACCACCTCTCAAGTCATTTTTCCTAATGCATCTCAAACTGCATCTGATTTCAAGCTTGTGAGGCATGGGAGCTTAAAAACAAAATCTAAATGAAGTTTTTTGAAGAAAATACCTTTATCATGTTGTTTACAGAATAAACAGGCTTTATCTTTACTCTCTCGCAAAACGTGACTTCACTGGCTAGGCTAACATTTATTAATCAACCCTAGTTTCCTTTTAGAATGTAGTAGTGAGCTGCCTTCTTGAGCAGCTGCATTCCATTTGGCATAGGTGAACCCACAATGCTGTATTTTTTTGTGGTAGTGGCAGGGGTGGGTGTGGAATTCCACAACTTTAAACCAGCGTCACTGAAGAAACAGATGAAAGGACAAACACAGTTCCAAGCCAAGATGTTGTGCGACTTGGAAAGGAATCTCAGGTGATGTATTACATCTGCTACCTTTGACATTCTATGTGGTACAGCTCATGGATTTAGAAAGTGGAATCAAAGAAACCATGTCATGTTGCGACATGCAACTTATCTATGGTATACACCGCTGCCACTGGTGGAGAGAATGAACGATCAAAGTGATGGATGAGATGCCAATCAAATCGTTTGCTTTATCCTGGATGGCATCAAGCTTCTTGAGGATTGTTGAAGCTGCACTCATTCAGACAAGTGGGCAATATTCATTCCTGGTTTGTGCCTTGCAGATAGTGTAGAGGGGAGATAACACGGTGTAGAGCTGGATGAACACAGCAGGCCAAGCAGCATCAGAGGAGCAGGAAAGCTGACGTTTCGGGCCTAGACCCTTCTTCAT